CAAATAATTCCTTTCACAATAGCATCCAAAAAACTGAAATACCTAGGAATCAACGTAACGAAAGAAATCAAAGACCTCTTCTCTGAAAACTATGGCATCTGAAAAGAGAGATTGAAGATGATATCAGAAAATGGACAGACATCCCCTGCTCATGGGTAGAATTAACATTGTGTCTAAAATCTTTCACTTCATCACACTGCACTATTAGTTCTTGCACAGTATTCAAATCAGCAGGTCTCAGGGCTATAGCAGTTGCTTTCAAATTGTACCTCTGCTACTTTCTGTGTTACTTTAAATTTTCACCAAATTAATTGTTTCATCTCTAAAATGTGTATACCATCTACCTTTATGATTGATGATTAAACAATTTATTTATACATGTTAAATACTCAGAAAAGTTTTCATACAATAGTAACTCTTTGGTAAATTATAATTATCAAATTTTTAAAATTTGTCAACCTAGTAGTATGAAATGGTCAGTTTTTACACTCTCATTGTAAATTTAATCTGTAATTTTTTATCACAATGAAACTGTAGAATTTTTCAAGTTTCATTTATTTGAGTCTCCCATTCTTTTTTTTTTTTTTTTTTGGTACTGAGGATTGAACTCAGGACCTTGCGCTTGCAAGGCAGGCGCTGGAACCACTGAGCTAAATCCCTGGCCCTAGTCTCCCATTCTTTAAACTACTTGTACAGATTCTTTTTTTTTTTTTTTAGTACTGGGTACTTTCCCCTTTTCTTATAAATTTGTAAGAATTCTTTTAAAAAATCATTTTAATTCATGTTTGCAGTAATGTTTATACTCCTTACGTGCAGTTGGAACATGTATACGTAACACATCTTAATTTCCTTTTTCATCCCTTTCCTTTCTCTCCCTCCATCTCTTGACCCTCTTCTCATTTGAAAAAGATCTCCTTGCTTCCTATTATCTTTTAACCTGCTTTTTATTTATATTTGGGATTTCTCTTATAAAAGGAACCATATGATGTTTAAGCTTGTGTGTTTGATTTATTTCACTTAATATTATGGTCTCAAGGTGCATTCATATTGACAAATGACTCAAGTTTATCTTCTTTTTCTCTGGACCTAATGTACTCATTTTAAATTTATTTTTTATTAGTACATGTTTGCAGTACATAATGATCACTTTCAACATGGAGGATTTGTACATGTACATAACACATCTTAATTCTTTTTCTTTTTTGTCCCCTTCCTTCTCTCCAACCCTTCGTACCCTAATTTATAAAAGCTCAATTTTCATTTTTCCCTTTTTTCCCCTTTAAATCCCTTTTCCCTTCCTTCTCTTCCCTCTTACCCCATCTCTTATTCTCCTTCCCATTTGAACAAGTTTTTCTTACTTCTTAATATCTATCCTTCATTTTGCTCATTATTTATATTTTAGGGTACTCACACAAGATTTATTCACTTAAGATTATGTTCAATTTATTTCACTTAAGATTATGCTCTCAAGGTGTATCCATTTACCTAAAAATGCCTTAAGTATATCCATCTTTATGGTAGAGTAGAACACAACTGCATATAAATACCACATTTTCTTTTTCATTAAGTTTATTGATACATTTTAGGTATACA